CCTCAAATCCCCGACAACCCTTTATTTATGGGAGAGCTATTACAAGTTGTGTCAGCTAGACATCGATAATCACCTTAAAAGGATCCTGTACTGTTAGGTATCGTGTGGAGGGCATTTAATCTAATATTTAATATTTACATTTATTTTTTAGGGTTACCACGAAATGGATAATTCAGTGGTATAGATTAAATTTCATCAATATAGAACATATTTTTATGGAAAACATTTTTCACCAAATTTAAATGTTAATTATTACACTTTATAATACATATTATCAGTGAAAATTAGATCGACTAATAAAATTGCTTATATTAAACACCTCCTAAACTTAATAAATATTCTTAGATTTAAAATTCAGAAATTAATTAAAATTATCTTTGTCTGCTTATATTTTTCAGTAGCTTTATGTGTTGCTTATTAAATTTCTTAAATGTTCATTACGTTGTTCATCAATTTCATTTGATGATTTCATTAGATGTATTGCGGTTGGTCGTTTGGGCTTCACTTAAAAAAATTCGAAGTGACGTGAAATCTTTGGTTTGTTTTTGATTTTGATCATAAACGCTTTGAATTTTTTAATAAAATTAATAAATATGATTGTAATTACAATTAAAAAATATAAATTTATATTTGTATTAAAAAATTAATGTTTTTAATTAAAACACAAACTATAAATGTTTACTTAAATAACTTATAATTTAAAGTATTAGATATATTAATCTAATTTCGAACTACAAATGTATTTAGTTGTATTTCGTTTTTTTTATACACATTTATATAAATCTTAGAACACAATAGGGTTCTTGAATATTTTCGAGAGACTTGCTGTGCTTGAATTAAATGCTTGAATAGCGAAATAATATAATCTTCAAACAGTTGAAATAATATTTGAGATTCCATTTGATATCCTTCGAACTCAAGATTAATGCATAACATGACAATAGATTTGTTATAGACTAAAATCAATACGTTTTACATAAGAAATGTTGATTTCTAAGAAGACATTGCTATCCACTACAGGACAAAAAGTTATTGAATTTCAACTGTTATTGAAACAGTTGAAATAATATTTGAGATTCCATTTGATATCCTTCGAACTCAAGATTAATGCATAACATGACAATAGATTTGTTATAGACTAAAATCAATACGTTTTACATAAGAAATGTTGATTTCTAAGAAGACATTGCTATCCACTACAGGACAAAAAGTTATTGAAATAAAATTTACTATTGGTTTCATATTATGGAGACGTCAATGCCCCCCAAGAAATTGTGATTAATATACTCTGAATATTTATTTTAAGGGTAAACATTTTTATCAATTCACCAAAAATCATTCAATCTAAAAATGATCTAAACAAAGTAATACCTATATAGTATATGTGTAAAAAAATATTTCAAAGATATCTGTAATCGTAACCATTTTTAAATTATATACTAAAACCGGATTTAGGTTAATTCGGGTGTCTAAAACACGCATAGACCTATTGGTCCCAAGCGATACCAGATGAAATTAAACCACTATACAGATTTTTTAGCATACTTTTTTTTGGATTTAAGTAGTACTTAAAGTTCAATTTTTGTAAATTAGTTGCTAAGCATTTTGTAAATAGTTTTTAAAGCGTATGTTTAGATAAAAGATACTATATTCAGACAGCCGGTTTACTTAATTTTGTAAAAATGAAATTAAGTTAATTTCGAAAGTGTTCATACTGCCCCAAATTAAGGAAATCATATGTTTTTTGTTTTCAAATCGAATGTTTGTATCTGAGAAATTTTAAAAGTTGATTATTACAACAACAGTTACAGTTCTTTCTCTACATTCAAATATAAAAAAATGCACTACTTTCAAAATATTTGCAGGTTTTATTCAAGTGAACTGTCACTGACATTTATTTAAAAAAAAATGTTTTCGTTATTTCTACTTTATATATTGCTTAAAATTTATCTTACGCATAGTTGCATTTGAAATGTCCCTTAATTTCAGCCTTTGTTTCAACGAAATTAAGACCATTTTCCTTAGTTTCGATCTAACCTCAAAACTGAATTGGGTATGAAAAAAAAACAACTTCATTTCGCTAAAACGAAGATGAAATTAAGATCTTTGCCGAATTAATAGGTCTCTGAACATAGTATTATTGAAATTTGAACCCAGACCCTGTGTCAGTAGTTCTAGTATATACGTATTGTGCCAACACGTTTCTAAAACAATGAAACAATAAATAAATAAACATTAATAAATTAAATTAAAGAGGTTTTGTTCGAACAGTAGTGAACTACAACAACAAAAACTCATTTTTATATTATTTTAATTAATTGAATTTTTGGCTGACCATACAGCTGTTTCAAGTATTGTCAAATACCCATCATCAGTGGTCTTGGAAATAATTCTTGTATTTAATTATTCGTAAATAATTCGTAATTTTTTGAGATTGCAAGTACCAGGAATCGAACTCGTGTCCTGCCAAATTTCAAGCTCAGAGTCAGCGCACCTTAACGAACTGACCCATAATATTAAAATAATATTAAACCTACATAAGTATATATTCTTTTGAAGCTTTTACTATAAAATATAAAAATTATAATTAATATAAAAAAACCACATAAAAAATACTTAGAAAGTAAAAACCAAAACCAAACAAAAAAAACATTAAGAAAATTAACGAGCAATTTGGGTACAAAGAAAACAGACGCTAAAATTATTCAATAGAACAAAATATCGGCGACAAAAACCACAGAGTCGGACAATGGAAGCGTTTAAGTACAAAATAAACTCAACTAAAAATAAAATAAATATTAAAAATATGTAATTCGTACTTAAATGAAGAATCCAAATTAAAGTAAACGAAGTACAAAGCAATGAACAAACAATTTAGGCAAATATGAATTGAAATTAAACCAGCAAAAAAAAAATAAATAAAAGAAGTTCGAAAATTTCCGCATGCATGGCAAACAAAGTTCATCCAACAACAACAAACACCAAACAAATAATGCCAAGCAAGACAAAAGTGCGTATAGACGCACTACAAAACACATAAACATATAAACAAATAAACAAATTAATTGTGTTTTTATGTAAAATTGTTTTGAATTTTTGCTACGAAATTGTATCATTTTCTTAGCCAATTTTATGACGTGGCCCTTTGAATTGGTTTCCTGTGTAAGACCGTTCAAGACACCTCGCATACCTGCATATGAGTTATGCACAGTACAAGCAAACACATTGCTGTATTCTGTATGCGCTCTATGCACATACGTCACGCATGTATGCGTAGTATGAGTAATCAATGCTCGTATATTGGCTGGTTTGTCTGTCTATCGTAGATCGTAGATCGTGAGTCGTATAGCAGCAAGTGCCAGTGTTTGTGATGTATGTATGTCGTTTTGGCAGTCTACCTGTTATTATTCGATTTGTTTGGCAGGATATGTACGCTCCTAAGTACATGTTCAATTAGTGTGCTGCGCTGCGCTGCGGTTACATCCTACATTCTTTGATTTATTTATTATTTTTAAGTGGACTTAAGTAAACATTTCGATTTAAGTGTCGAAGTGTGCACACAGTACAAATGAACTATATTAAGGCCCCTAAATTCCTTTTTTATTTTTGTATTTTTGCTGACAATTCACATTTCTTAAAATTAATGAGTTTGGTTTGGACTACTGTCGATTGTTCCTCGTTTCTCTTAATGGATTAGTTCATTGATAAATTTAGCAAAATGGCTGAAATTTCCAAAATACCTATGTAGACCTTTAATAAAATAAAATAAAAATAAATATTATGAAATTCCTGAAGAAGGTTAATGTGTAAATTAATGAGGCAATGTAAATAAAAAACCAAAAGAAATTAATTTAATTTAATGAGTAATTATTTTAGTCTCTAGTGAAAATAAACGAAATATTTTTTTAATGTTAATTTCATTGCTATTCGAACCCATCTAACTTTTAAAGAGTATTTTTTTCGTCATAAGACGCATCACTTTCGACAAAAGAAATTAAAATTAAAAGATTAGAATTATAGGAAATACGAACAATAATATTTTTCAGCTTTTCCATTTTGATACTTCTCCTGTAGAATGATTAATCTTTGGTCTTAAAATATGCCTTAGTTTCGGCGATGACTTTTTCATTGGAACCGAAATTCTCTCCCTTAAGCATTTTCTGAAGTTCTGCGAACAGTTAATAATCGCAGGGGGCCAAATCTGGCGAAAACGATAGATGCAGAAGCAATTGGAAATGTAATTCGTGCAATTTGATCAACGATTTGTTCACGATGCACTGTCTTGTTGAAAGATGATTTTTTTCTTTTTCATGTTTGGCCGTTGTTTTGTGATTTTCTCCTTCAAATGCACGAGATGGTCCGACTTTTTCCAAGGTGATTGATGAACAAAATTTCATGTGCATCCTAAAATATGGACACCATAATCATAATACACATGTTATTCCATTTATATTACTTTGAGTATTAAAAAGCGAATTGCATCCTTAATATAATTTGGACTAATTACCAATATATTTATATATAAAGGCTTTACAAAACCTTAATAATTTTACAAAAATTTTATATAACTTATCTAAATTTTTGGGTTGTTTTAGATATTTGCAAATTTATTATTATTAGTTCAGTGTAAATATTTGTGGGTTGGTATATAATTTTATACTACGAGTACAATACTCCTTTCAAATTTAAAATAAAACTCAGGGATCAATTAATGACTTAAAACTGAAATATTGGACTTTATAGAAAATTAACTTATTATAAATAATTAAAAATTTATTAAATTTAACAGAAAATTTTTATAATTTTAAATTTTAAAGCAGTAGCGTAGCCAGGTGCTAATGGTGTAACTGGGGGCAGAGGGGGAGAGGAGTGGTTATGCTGGATTTATTTTTTGGTGAAGTTCACATTATTAAGTTTAATAAGATTGAATTATTTACTTATAATATTTACAATATCTTTATATCGAATAGTTTAGATTTTTCCATTAATTTGACTCTTACCACTGTTTCGTTTCCATAGATATGTTTGATAAACTGTCAATTAGTTAAGTCTAGCACATTTCATCTTGAATCAGTTTTTTTAATGTGTTCTGGTCACCGTTTGGTATGTTTTTCGTCACTTCTATTGCTAATTTGTGTGTATATCCATTATCTCTAAAACAATATAAGAAAACATTTTTAGATTATATTTTACTTCCTTCAAAAATTTATTTTTATTGCACTTAATCTTTAATTAAGTGAAATCCTTTCTCATTTAGTTATATTTTTTAATTGATTGTCACATTATATATGTGAAATATAAACATCGAAAAGTAACAAAATACCAACTGAACCTACAACCATGATTTCTTTTTGAGGTTTTGAAAATATGCTTTGAAATTGAAAATCTGGTTAGTGCTTCATGAAAAAAGTTGAATCATGTTTTCTTTAATAAAGAGTCAAATCCCCATCATTAGTGGTCTTGGAATTATTTCTTATATATTTAATTATTCATAATATTTTTTTTTAAATTATAATAAAAATAAATTAAATAGTTATTAATTTTCAATAAGTTTCTCATATAAACGTGATTTTCAATTTTATTTAAAATTTAATTAGATTTATATATTTTAAATTATTTCAAAAATAACCAAAATCATTGAATGACTTAATAAGATACTTTGGGTTATCAATAATGTTATGACCAAAATAGTATCTGCAATATGTGACTAGATACAAAATAGATACAAAAGTATTTTAGCAAGGAGCGTTACACGAACCAAGCTTAGCACTTAAAGTGGTTTCAGAGTCTTGACCTGTAACAAAAATTAAAGAGAGGAGAATTATATGTATTTGTTTTTTATGTACAGTAAATAGAACTAACACGTCGTTCAATAATGTGTGTGACTGACACATAGATGGCGGCACTAATACTAAATAAATATTTTTTTCGAAAGTGGCAACCTTTTTAGGCTTACTGTCAAAATCATATGTTAATCCGACCAATACTGTTCAATGCCAGGAATGGCTTGAAAAACATTATTCGGACTCTGCTCCATCAAAAAGAAGCATTTGTTATTGGTATGCCGAATTCAAACGTGGTTGTATAGACACCGTTGACATTCCATCTACTGGACGTTGAAAAAACACTGAAAATCATTATGTCCGACCGTAAAGTGAAAGTGAGGGAGAGTGCTGACATTCTACAGATATCAGCAGGCAGTGTACACACCATAATACACGAACATTTGGGTATGAAAAAGGTGTTTTCCAAATGGGTGCCGCGTTTGCTCACACCGGAGCAAAAACAACAACGAATCGATGATTCAAAGAGCTGTTTGGACATGTTTACGCGCAATAAGTCGGAGTTTTTGCGTCGGTACATCACGATGGATGAAACATAGATCCATCCACCATTTCACTCCAGAGTCAAATCGGCAGTCTGCTGAGTGGCATGCAGCCGGTGAAAGCCGCCCAAAGCGACCAAAGACGCAGCAGTTGGGTGGCATCGATTATCATCGACTATCTCCAGAAGGGGAAGACCATCAACAGCGACTATTATATAGTGTTATTGGAGCGTTTGAAAGACGAAATCGCAAAGAAACGGCCTCATATGGCGAAGAAAACAGTTTTGCTCCACCAAGACAATGCACCGTGTCACAAGTCGATGAAAACGATGGCAAAATTGAACAAATTGAGCTACGAATTGGTGCCGCACCCACCGTATTCTCCAGATCTGGCCCCCAGCGACTACTGGCTCTTCGCAGACCTCAAAAAGATGCTCCGTGGTAACAGATTTGGCTCAAATGATGAAGTAATCGCCGAAATTAACGCCTATTTTGAAGGCAAAGAAAAATCGTTTTACAAAGGCGGTATCGAAAGATTGCAAAAGCGTTGGAATGATTGTATCTCCCTAAAAGGGGACTATGTTGATGAATAAAATCGAATTTTGGGAAAAAAATGTGTTTTAATTAGTTAGTCACACACATTATTGAACGACGTGTTAACTTCATTTGTTGTTTTCAAACAAAAATTATACTTTATTTTAATGATATATTGTGGGGGATTTAGTACAATATTTATAACAAATTTTTTGGTTTATGAAGTAGACATTTTTAGTATTAGTCTTATTTTTTTATTGTTGTGGGTTTTAAGTCCAAAAGACTTATAATAGTATATAAATGATAATATTAAATGACAGCCAGTGTTGTTATTTGAAATTATTAAATATTATTTAAAGTTATATAAAATAAAAAATGGCATAAAGCCCGGCAAAAAAGGAAATCTATATTAAGATCGATACCAATATTTTAAGAAAAGTAAAAATAATTAAATAGAACTGAAAAGTTTTTCGATATTTGCCATCAGTAGAATATCTTGAAATAGAACAAAGTCGGTGAATAAATGGAACTACCATAAAAAAATTCTCAAATAATGGTGCTTCCAAAATCTCCACTTATGAAAAATTAAATCATTAATTTAAGAATAAAAGTGAAATTGTTATTAAAACATCCTTAAAAAAAGCACTGATCCAGCTAAATAATAATATATATAATTATAAATATATATTAGTTATATATTTATGAGTATGTACATATTTCAATTATATTTTTTATTTTATTAAAGTAAAAATATTTTCATACCAAACGCTCGTTCAAGCTCTTGCAAAAGCGTTTGCACATTTGTTTATATTTTGGGAAACTATAGAATAAATATTAAAATATTAAATTTAAACATATTTTTGTAAGTATGTATGTAAGTAATTTTGTTTTGAACTTTGACAGGAAGTTGTTTGTCGTTGTGCACATTACGGGTTCTTTTGTTTTCGCTATGGTCTTTCTTTCTGCTACAATTTATAATTTTTTTGTTGTTTATTAACTGCGCGTGCTGATAAGGAACTGTCGATGTTGTCGTCTTGGTCTATATAGTCGTTATATAGTCGTCAAAGTTGACGTTTACTGGGTGCAAATAATGTTGAAATATTTTTTCCATATCCCCCCACTTTAATGCAGTAAGTAAGGCTTTCTGTCATGTCAGGCAGGCAGGCAGGCAAGTAGGCACAGGCAAGCAAATATGGACGACAAGTATTCTGCGTTTGTCCGTTTAAAACTCAGTGGATGGACGCAGTGAGTTTGGTTTTATAAGACATATGGGTTCGTTGTTCGTCATGGTGGTTTCATGTAATCGTTTGTAATTTTTCCTTTCTGTACATTATTTTTAATTTTTAATTTATTTTTTCTGTGTATATATTTATTTTCGTTTCGTTCATTTTTATTTTATTAAGTAAAAACAGATATAATGGACATTGTAAGTATAACTTGTACTGTAAATATGCGGTAATTATTGTTACCATTAGGCTTTGTTTATTAATGATTCTCGATTCGTATTTTTGTTATTTTGTTTTTTTGGTTTTCCAATATTTTGTTGGTGTTTTTTATTTATTTATATATATGTACATTTATATTTATTTGCATGTATATATCATATATTCTTCATATGATTTATTCTATAGTTTAACTTGTTTGCTACTTGTTACTCTTACGTATATATTGCTGGAGTTAATTAAGTGCTATAATTATATACATATTTAAAATAAATGAGCAATAAATTATATTTAAAATAATTAAAAAATATAAATCAAATGCTCTGAGCTTTAATTGAATAGAAATAAACATGTCATTTGTTGTGTGCTGTAAAGTGATTTTTAAATAAACTGATTTGTTTTTGTTAAAAACAATTTCATTATTTAGAGTATTGCCCTCTAAAAAGAGATAAAAAGAGATTTTCCCAATCACTTACCAACACTTAACCTAATCCTGGTTTTTAGAATCCAGTGAAACTATAATATTGTGGCACTATAGCTTATTTAAAGCATTAAACATGTAACTGCGCAAGTGGTAATCTAATGAAGCAAAATTTGAGGAATGAGTTTTGTCCTTTTAAATAGCTAAAATAATATATGTTCTAGCATTGCCATGTTAAAGAATTATTTTATCGTGTCTATTTTTCTCATTCTAGAGAATGTCGATTTTCCTTGAAAACATAATTATATTAATTTGAATTGGTACCGGCCGTCAGTAATTGTATCATTTTATCTCCCTTTTCATCTTATCAAATGAATATTAAAAATATATATAAATATATGCTACACATTCTCCTATTCTGTATTACTTCCATTATATATAGGCGTTTAGAATTATCACTTCTTATAATATTTCATGGCTCTGCAAGTTGTTTTTGGCGTGGATATTCGTTTAATAATTCCTCTAATATGTAATACATATAATTAAATTGAATTAAATTATTGCTTTAATATCAAAAATGATATAAAAAACTAAAATGATCTGAAACTAATTTCTTTAGTATCTTGCTTTAGTATGATTTTTAATAATTTAAACAGATGGTATAGTTGCCAGTATCGACTTTGTCATTGTTTCATGCGATTCAACTTTTTTGCACCAATATGGTTTTTTACAATATTATCGTTTACGAGTATAATTTATTAACCATCACCAGTGACCAGTGCCTTAAAATGTTTTCAATTTGTAAGCCATTCATATATCGAAAGGTTTATAATAGTGTTGTGGGGGATTTTCAGGTAATTATTAATGCTGTGCCTATTCACATGTCGGTTCTCTTGAATTTAATCATAATATCATTGACTATCCATGATTGGCCAATCAGAGCAAACATATTTTAGAACGGAACTGAGCCAACTCCTGGTCGTTTTTATACATGGAACTTACCCTTATTAGTCCTTATTTTCATCATAGTACAATTATAAAGTTTACCAAATTATTTTCAAATTTTTATTTAATTTTGCTTTACTATAAAATCTAACACAATCCTATCTGAGTGCTTGACATAAGCCGTTACCTGATTTTCAAAGCATTCATGTTATGAATATCTCTATTGGATTAGTTGTTATTTAAAAATTGTCTTCTCCCAACACTTTTATGATAATAAGTACTTTGCTTTTATAAGTTCAATTAACTTAACTGTTCTCAACACTTTTTTATTTTTTAAAATTTATATATCTCTAACTAAAACAGAACAATGTGTACAATACATACATTAGTAATGTCATAGACTATTATTTATTTAAAAATTCCCACCAATTCAATTAAGCCTTCACATTTGTGTTGTAAGTCAGCTCCACTACTTTATACGAGTAC